GGGGGGGGGGGAGGAAGAAAAAAGTAGGCGACGCTTTTAAATGTACATTAAGAGAAAAAAAAATGAACTGTACATTTTCTATATTATTTTTCAGCACAATTTCATAGAGGAGTGTGTAAATATTTAATAAGAGAAGCACCATGTCCGTTTAATGATAATATCTTTAACGATCGACGTCAGAGAGAAAGAGAGAGAGTGAGAGAGAGAAAGAGAGAGAGAGAGAGAGAGAGAGAGAGAGAGAGAGAGAGAGAGAGAGAGAGAGAGATAGAGGGAGAGATAGAAATATTAATATATTACACATATATATAATATGTAATTATTGTACTGTGCGTAACTATACTATTACAATAAAAACGATCAGTTAGTTATATTATTGACTTTTATTTATTCGTATCCAATTAATTTTTGATAATTTAAAGTCATCTCTGGTAGAAAGACATCCAGCCTGAAACCCGAAAACTGGACAGAAAAAAGGAAAAATAGAGAATAAAAAATCGTTATCAAAAACTATCTTTAAAGTCGAAACCAAAAATCCTAAACGAAAAGTGATGAATGTAAAACCCAAGACCGAAAACTAAAACCGAAATTCAGACTTTCACCATTGCGAGCACCGTAAACGTACCGATATTTTTTTCGAATGCTATCCCTGGAAAAATCTCAGACATGATTTATCTACAGTCGGTAATATTACCGACCGCCGAAGATATAATATGTATGTACCTACTGTCGAATACACGTGCACCGGGCAAGGCCATTGACGATGCAGGCGTATCGCATCCATTGACGTAATCGTATTGATCGCAGTCAGCGCATGCGCACTAGTCCTTTTAAGAATCGTGGCATTGCAGGGGTTCACGAGGAGGACAAATGAATGCAGTTACAACGTTTGCGGCCGGGAAAACGCCGAGTGAAAAGATACTTCGTGGACCAGCACGTGCTATCATCTGTCAGTTGTGACAGAATTGTGTGTTCACCTTTTTTGCTGGTTGGTCTCATTCTTAATTTCTACGACACACAGTTTATCGACAGTACGCATTAATTATTAGGAGTGTCAACAATCCTTTGAAAACGAACAGTTGTGATATCCGATTAAACGACGGAATCTGGTAGCAGCTGTGTCGAGAATTAAAATTATTTTGAAAAATTTACATCTTTTTTCCAAATACCATTGTACGACAATTTTCATACGTAAGATACATCCATAAAGAATCGCAGAGGTGCACAATTAAATTGTATCGGGTGGATATCGTAATCGATTTTTTTTTTCCAAATATATTAATTCCTTATGGTATTTTGAAAACTGTGACAGTGCCTGATTCACGTGTAAAAGAATCATTACCTTCATTTTTTTTCGTAAACATAACGTAACCTGCATTGCAGCTGTTTAGACACTACATGCACTCGGTAACATCTGTAATTTTTGAAATTATTATTCCCACGTGTTAATTTATCTTGAGTTCATTGATAAGTGATAAACGTGGTACACGATTTACGTTTTATTTGAACGTTTGATTTTATTATAATCATAAATCATAAAATTTCATTTATGAAAATGGCACACAGCCTTGTACTAGCTTCGTGGTCCTTAGTCGATGCGTCTTATCAGCAGTCATATTGTATAAATTTCTTATCAATGTAATTTCAAACAGATTAATTTGTCTTGGACAAATAATATCTTTGTAGTAAAAATATTGTGTTTACATAACAATGAAATTTGTCACTTTGCAAGCTTCATAATTGTCGCGTAATAAATTATCAGTAACATTATCTCTATTGGGATATCCGTAAAGATTGTTTATTTATCTTATTTCAAAACTCAAGAAAAAAAGGAACCTTAAACAAAATTTAATTCCTGTCATATATACAGACTTCATATCAGCCATTCTATTAAGTCTATATTATTATTATATCAGAATCTTGCGTAACTTCTTATCAATTTTTTGTGGTTTTTACCATAGAAGCGTAATGCACTTTAACGAGGCGTATTATATGACACAACGAACTATTTAAAATAATTATTTCATACACACAATTGTATTTGTAAAAGTTATTAACCTATAATCCAACATGAATTTTCAATTCCACATGGAGACTTTTACAACAAGAAGAAATTAAAAAATTTATTTGCTTACCCAATTCAATTAAAATTATGATTTTTCATAAAATCAATTTCTCTACGTGCGTACAAGTACAAAAGCCAGTATTATATGTCCTCGTATACACATTACTGACGCAATAACAAAAAAATCCAATAGTCACACCTGTACCGTAGCAGCAACACGTGTGAAAATAAAACCGCGTGGGCGCTACCACTCTTATCCATTGCGCGGCCATAACCGTGTGCGTTCGTTCACATTTGTTTATCAAGTGGCTCCCAGTTATACATATATATAATTTATAGCTCTTATCATAGATTACGTTGCCTCGATAGACGCCTTTGAAAAGTTACTAAAAAATGATTACCATTATCCCGCATGAGATGAGAAATTTTCTAATCGAGGAACAAGGGTTGTGTTATTTTATTATTATTTTATTATAATTATTTTATTGAATTTTTTTTCATCAGCAAACAAAATGGTCGACGTCGCTGCTGCCCTGCCGTCAACCACAGGAGGTGGCTCTTTGATGGGTCGTACACGAGGCGCCCTTAAGTCCATGAGGTCAGCCCTTGGCGGTGGAGGAGAGTATCTTCAAGGGTTAGGAAATAGAATAGGCTCTGCATTGAGCAGCAGCCTTGAGGAAAGTGAATTGACAACTACGCCGTCGTCGCCACCGTCGCCGCCACATCCGATTCCTCAGGTGGTTAAGCAGCAGGAAGACATTGGTCGAAGAAAGTTGAGGCTTCCAAGGTTTACCTTGACATTGATATAATTTGCAATATTTTTTTTTCAATTTTTCAAAATTTTTCCGTGCTTGGGAAAAATAAAATTCTGATACCATTTTTTGTGTGCTCGGTCATGCTTATAGGATTTTTGAAATGGTAACTAATATAATTCAATTTTTTTATTTAGATTCGGCACTGGCTTGTCGTATGAGGATTACGAAGCCATGGCCAGGCACAAGTTGGAAAGACAGGGTAGTGCTAATTCATCAAGATCATTAAAAAAGTATCCACCCGGTATGACGTATGAGGAAATAGGATCGTCCAGGTCTGTACCGGCGAAGAAGGACGTAAAGATAGAAGATGATAACAGTACGGACGATAAGGAAAGTCAGGAAAGTATAGAGCCTCTAGAAGAGAAGGATATTAAAGCGACAGGACCTGATCCTTATGAAAAATTGAATTACAAAACAGGTATATACACATTGAAAATTATAGTAACGTAAAATAACGAGTGACAACTTTGAAAAATGAAAAAAAATAATAATAATTTTATCGATAAGACAAATTTGATTAAATGGAATTTTAATTGAAATCGAAATAATATTTGAAAATGTATTTTCTGTCTTTTTTTTGTCTCGTCAAAGCCAGGGCTCCAGATCGCTATGAGACGGTCATTTTTCGTTTAGGTAAATCCAAAAGAAATTAAAAGTCATTACGTGTCGATGTTTCCCCTACACAGATTTTGTGTATTTATTCTGCATTGTGATAAATGACAAATTTTTGTTACTTTTTTGTATAATCCGAAATCACAAATATAGTTCTCGTTGATCTGTCGCTTGGCCGCGTAATTGCACTAGTGTTGTCAACTTAACACAGCTGGGCCAATTAACCGTGTGTCCTAATTCCATCCGGTATATTGTGGCTACTGATAAGGCGTCGAGCAGTAGATAGCGAAGTAGAACATAGCAGTAAACAGGCAGACAAGTTGACACAGTAGGTACAAGTAGCATTTGGTTGGACATTCGTGTTTTATAATAAAAAAAAGAAAAAGAAAAAAACATAATAAAAGTGTATAAAATCAACAGAACAAAAAAAAAGAACACGGTGTAAGTGTGTGAGATAGTACAAAAAAGCACAAAAGTTTGTACCAAGGCTAATAAAAAAAAATAAAATTGTGCAATCGAGCCAGTGTCAAATTAAACGTTGCTTCGTTCACTTGCTTAGTATAGATCATAGATCGTAGATCAAAACACTTGAGCTCTTTGATTGATAATTCTTTTTTTTTTCGTGATACACGATTTTGGTTTTCAGATATGCCCTGCAGTAGTGGATCTGCTAGTGACCAAGATGGCTATGGACCAAGCACTAGTCTTGAATCGAATATGGATGGTCGAAAGGCGTGGCACAGATCTGGTATTTGTTATGAAAATATATATTTTTCATAAAATTATTCCTAGTACGTGGTAATCATTAATTTATAGGATCTTCCGGCTCGGTACAGTCTTGGGCATCCAGTTTATCGGCTGACAGCCAATCGGAAGAAGCTGCAGCGGATTTTATGAAATCTTTCGTTCCTTTGCTGTTCGATGCACCAGGCAGTGTTGATCAAGAACAAAAAGCTAAATTTGGGCAGATGGTTCTTGTACGTAATAATTTTGTTTTGGGAGTTAAGTGAAAAAAATTTTTTGTCGATCGATCGATAACAATTTTTATAACTTAGAGTGATAGCTTGGAAAATATTTTTTTTGCGTTGACAATCGTATATTATTTTATTCGTCTTCTTGCAGACGGAATCCGGCAGAGTTTGGTTCTCCAGGGTGGTGAATGCTAGAAGAGCTCGAGCTTGCGTATCGGAGGCTTCTTTTTATTCTCTCGCTCAACATTTTGCAGTGGCACTTTTTGAGTGTCACGAAGCCGACGATTTTGCACCTGCTAAAAGTCTCATGAATATGTGTTTCACGTTTTATCATGAAGGTGAGAACGTGGCTTAAGTATTTGATTATATGGCTATTTTTTTTAGAAATATATTAAATGCAGGTACTGTGGATTATTATTGAATATTATTGAAATATAATTATTGAATTTTTTTTTTAATTCTAGTTGATGTACCCGGACTAGAACCTTATAGAGAATATTTGTATACGCACTTGCGAGTTCAGCCAATTTGGACATCTATGCGGTTTTGGACTGCTGCCTTTTTTGATGCGGTTCAATGCGAACGGGCCACGAGACCGGTAGCGCCTAGATCAAAATCGCTTGATAGAGAAGCCATTGCAGCTGACGATCGAAAATTTCAAGCGAACATTGTTTTTGGTCAATTAGGGTAGGTTGATTGGTTATTTGTTATCGATAAGAATTAATTTTTGGATTTTTATTAATAAATTATACTTTTTTGGGTATAGAACTTTTACGTGCAATATGCATGCCTTCGGTCTGGCGAGGAGTCTTTGTTTGGAATTTTTGCGAAAACAATGCGCAATTGCGAATTTGTCACCAGGTATGTGATGATAAGTGGAATATATATTTTGGAATTTTGACAAATTGGTATTGTCATGGTAATTTTGTAATATTTTTCATTATTCTTTTACAGAACAAGAGAAAATGTTGCGTGATAATATCGAGAGGATGTATGACGAGACTGAACCTTGGCGATAGGTTTTTTTTTTTGAGGAAATTTGAAAATTTTGAAAGACAAGTTTAGGGTTGAATTTTGTAAATATGAAAAATTCTATTACCTTGTTAACAAGATGGACATCTTGTTGCCTCTCGTTGCGAGTACGAATTTAACAGTCATTCTCATAACTTAGAATCCCTTAGTTTTTGGATTACTGAAGCAATTGTGCTTATTAAATCGAAAAGAATTAATCAGTGGTCAATTAAACAAAATTAATGATTATGCATAAGTCATACGAAGATAGTCAATCATCACGTGTAATGCCTGAAATATTTATTATTTTAAAGCATGTTAGGTTAGTATTAGCGAACAAAACAAAGTTGCTAATCATCCTTTTGTCTGTAGAACTTCAAAAAAGATCTAACAATCCAAAAAATTGTTCGAGAGTCGATAATAAAATGGTTGTGAAAAAAAAAGTAAGGACGAGCTTATCGGACGCCGTTAAAAAAAACTAATAAATAAATTTCTACAAGAAGCGAAAAAAATTGCTACTCTCTTTCAAAATATCCAAGGCGTCAATTATGAGCGAAATTAACGACACAAGGCTAGTCCATGTATTGTGAAAATTTGTTCAGAGATGAAATTTTTGAAACAAATTTCATTACGCAATTAATACCTCGCGCCAGTCAGCAGAGAAACATTTTTGAAATATATAATGAGAGAAGAGAATGTGCTATATTTTGTTAAAGAGCACCTATATCCAAAACTGAAATATATCTGATATAATAGGTAACGTACTGATGAAAATTCAAAACGCAGTGTTTCAATAGAAGATAAATAATTGTTTTTGCGCGATTAAACAATCGAGTTTTAATGACGTAATAAAACTCGTTTCCCCATCGCTAATGAATTTGTGCAATATCAATAAATAGCGATAATCAGAATTATCGCTCGAAATTGGTCATATTAAAATTTTCGAGACAGATATATATACATGTATACAGCCGTGTATACATTCCCAAAAAAAAATGATCAACGACATAGAAAAATTTCATATCACGCAATATGTAATCCGACCATAAAAATGTGTATAAAAGGTAATTAACAATTGTAAATAGTGAAACAACTGCGTATTGAATGTCTGAATGCGGGATACCGTAAGAATAATGTAAAAAGCGTGTATCAATAAATGAAGTTATCAGAGACTGTCTTTAGTGATAATTAACTTTGCATGGTTCCACACGGCGCCTGATGGGTGTCGATTTGTGCGGAAATTATTTTTTTATCATTCAGTATCTTTGGACGATTTGATTCTTTTCATTAAGATTTAAGGAGTCCGGAGAGACCAGAGAGAGAGAGAGAGAGAGAGATACCTGATTATTATCATTATTATTCGTCATTTAATTCATAAATTGTGAAAGAAGGGACGAGTGGGGATAATAGAAGGTACAAATAAAAACTTCAATAAATTTTACATAATGTTTATTATTTATAGTGTATTCAGAAAAATGTCGGGCCTCAACCAGTGGGCCCCCTTTTTTTTAAACATATTTGATCAGTGAACATCACATTGTTAATTTTTAGTCGTGTCCACGTAAAGTTTTTTTTTCCTTTCTATCTCCTCCTTACTTTACCGCGAAGCGACGTACAGGATGTCCAAGAAATAACGACTGGATTATGAATATTCGTATGTAACAAATCAATGAAGCCATGTAAAGAAAAAAAGAAAAAGCACGTTTACCAATCGTTTTATCGATAGATGAAAATATATACGAGAGTAGGTGCCACGAATTATTGTTTATGGAAACGTGATTAATTGTTATGTATAAATTATATCATACAAACCACGTGTGATATATTTCATTTTTTTAACGAATCTTTCTTTTTCGAAAATCAGTCATGTCGTAACATCCTGCACGTCACGGTAAAATTGATATTCAACCATGTCCTACGTCACTTGGTTCTCTTTCCATACCTCAACATGCCAGCATATTTGCACAAAAGGAAAACACAAATTTTAGTATCGCACGAACAGCGTCTTTGTCGTCTTAACGAAACAAGAACAAAAAACAAAACGAAAGAACAGAAACGAACGTGCGGTAAATCCACAGAAAAAATTTACAAAGTATCGAGTGTATCTTTTGTCGCGTATCAAATGTCTTTTTTTTTTATTTCATGACGACAATTGTAAACGAACTTAAATCCTCGAATAAAAGGATAAATTTCTTTACGCACATAATAAAAGGATTTACGAACAGTATTACACAGGAGTCTAGAATGTTCTAGAACAAATGTTGAATTTTCCGTCTCTTAACATTATTTTCGTGAAAATTCGAATATTACGAAATACTCGGGATTAAGATACCTACGTTACATTTTGTTCGATCTTTATAATGGGAGCATGGGGTTGGGACTGGGATTAGGGTTCGGGGGGATTCAATGAAATTTCTTACCTTTTATTATTCATACCCTCGCACGCACACATCAACAGAACCAATCAGTTCATCTCAATAAACATTTCTTCAAATCGTTTTTGATCTCCGTTGTTTACGCGGACAATTAAAAATTGTGATAGATTCGCCGCGAATCGTAAACACGTTCGAGTATCAAAGAGAACAAAGTGAAGTAAAATAGAGCATAATGAAAATATGAGAGATCCCACGTGAAATCGAGTCACGTGATAATTCTCGATATGAAAATATAGATATGCAAAGAAAAAATATATTTTTGGGATCAAGGAGACGGGGGAAACGTGAGAAATAATAATATAACAAAGAATCATTGACTTCTTGATATTTCCTTATTTTTCGTTATAATAGTTATCTGTATATCACTTTTAATAATTACGTCAACGACTCGCGGCGATCGGCTAAATTGAAAATATCTCGACAGCCAATCGTCGTCAATCGGATAGGATGATAATCGTGCGAATAAAATTTCTCAATTCGTTGAATCATGCAACACGTGGCCAGATATAAAAAAAAAAGAAAAAAGATATATAGCAATATAAAATATACGGTGGCATTTGCAATTTATTTTAAGACAAAAATTATTGAAAATGATCGATATAATCGATTGATATATCGACGAGTGACTGTCGAGCGATAGGCTAATTAATATCTGGCGATGACGGACAAAGTGGTACAAAGATCCCAGGACTTCATGAGATCCTCTTGTGGGAATCGAAAAATTCGAAAAAGGACACGGTGAAAAATAATGACGAGACTTTGTCGCCGCTTTGTGCGTCAGCCCATATATTCTAGGGCATCGCCTCTTCCACCTTACTTTTTTAATCTCTAATTCTAATCTAATGCTATACGAAATGATTATTACAATATCATAATGTATATATACATATATATATATATAATGTATATATATATATAATGTATATATAATATATTCTACATTACGTTACTAAGTTCGAAAAATAATATTACAATATAGTGTGTGTGTGTGTGTGTGTTGTTTGTGTATATTATCAATTTTGTTTCTTTCTCTTGCTTTTTTTTATTTTATTCTTGTTTTGCTCCTCTCGTCAGTTACATAACCTCTACTGACTATTCGTCATCTTTAAAATCGCATCACAATTTCGCCGTCCTTGTTTCGCGTGCAAAATTTCGTCTAATCGTCTGTCAGATTTGTTACATTTTTTGAATCTCGATGCATAGTTCGTTTTTTTAATAAAAAAAAATGTACCCTCCCCCCGAATGCTCTTTTTTTCTCGTATCGATTACCCAACGTGTTACGATCTGATAGTCATTGTATGTTTTTTTTTTACAGATCAGTATGTCAGAAATTTTTAATTTTGTGACTTTTAATTTTAATAAAAAAAAATTAATGCAATATTTTCAAAAATTTTTTATAAATTTCATTGCGAGGTAAACAACTTGTTGGGACCGACGTAACATATACTATATACGTAGTAGTAGGGTAGGTAGTATTTTCGTATTACGGGGGAGAGGCCGACTGCAGCGCCATCACGAATAAAAATTTATTACGTGATTAGGAAACGCGTTATCATCTAATTTTTTTTTTTCGTATCTTTACACTCAGACGTATTTTCAAAATTCTTTATCAATATCTATTAGATCGTGGCTGTGTATAGTGAGTGTGTGGGTGTTGTAAAACCGCTAGGCGCTTTTCATCTTTTTTTTTTGTTAATTTGAATAACAACCATTTTCTTCCCATTTGTTTTACTAAATATATCACAAACTGCCGGTGGTCAGTGCAGCCCCACGTGTTAACGCTAAATCCCTATTACCCGAGTATCCCATAAACTTTTTTTCCTTTTATTACTTTTATTTTGCTTTTCCTCGTCTTTCATCCTACGCTTAGGATCGTCCCTCTCTCTTGCTCTCACAATAAATTTTTTCGGGGATTTTGTCACTTTACGTATTAACCATTAAAATTTTTCAAATTCCAAGCGACCATAGTTCCTCAGTCTTTTCGTGTATTTAACAAATAAGCAATCTAGCGTAAACAAACAGGGGCTACCACCGGAAAAATATAACGTTAAAGGGTTACATGTTAATAGTTACATCACTGCCGAGGGACGCCATCGATCAACGACATTACGATCCTCGATCCTCATAGATCCACCTCGCGATCGCGTCCTCAACTTAAGGTTAGTTTAAATGTTGAACTAGTAGTTTCTGCATATTATGCTGCCACAGAAGACTCTCATTTACTCTTAAAGTGTAAATATTCTTTATAAATTCATGACCTTAAACTTTACGTGATTCTTTAGATTTTCCGAAAGGTAATATTTTTTAACTTCTTTTTTTTTCTTTTTTAATCACGCTCTCTGGCTCCCTCTCTTTCTATCATTCTGCTATCGCAGTCCGTCGCTCACACTCACGTACAAGTTTGAATTTCGCGCCACTTTACATTTGTCCATATCTGTCAATCTCTCATATCTCTCTCTCTCTCTCTCTCTCTCTCTCTCTCTCTCTCTCTCTTTCTCTCTCTCCGTCACGATTTCCCGTATATGTTCTGCCGTTTCATTTTTACTCATGAACTTGTAGTCAAGGGGGGCGGGGGGGGGCGATCGCATTGGCGTGGGGGAGGGAGGGCTTACATCAAGGGAAAAAGGGCACAAGGACTTTATACCGTGTCTCACTCTAATTAGACACATAAGAGACCAATGGGTATTACCCATTAGAATTACTATAGGAATTGTACAGGAATTAGAAGCCATACTTAGGCAGCTCCGTTGCACGTTAACGACATAGAAAATTTATGGGAATCGCGGGACAAGAAACACGTGACCGCATACGCCCATTCGGAAAAAAAAACGACATTACTTTAGATTCGTCAAAGAATTTTACGAAAAAGCAGAAGATCCGATACATGTACCTGGTCAATCCTCGATAACGTTGACAATCCGATAACGTGGTAGAAGCTCTGACGCAATCCATACAATCGCGAATGCGAATATGCGACACGTGCTCGGTCAGCGTGCGCCATTATTGTTTAAACGAAATATTCAGACATAAAGGCGCACGCGCAACGGCTACCAAAGGGCGCGTGGAATCGGAGGGTCTAAGAAGCTTTTGCAAAATTGCGCAAAGCTCGCACGAAAGCGAAAAACACGTACACGCGAATTGAAGTAAGGAGGGGAGGGTGGCAGGGTAACGACGATAGGGGAGGGAGGGCGGGTGGAGGGGAGGTAATAGACATACGAACTCCGTCGCTAGTAGTAACAGGGAACAAAGTATCGATAGATCGAATCAATGATATATATTAGGCTTTCTGGTAATGTTACCATTGCTATTTCTTAATGTTACTATTAGGTGAGATTAGGAATTTTTCTTGGAAAAAAAGGTCCAATTAGCGTTAATTGGGTATCGATAGATAGTAAACGATGTTTGTCGATCCTAATATTTAGTGGTTAACAACTGCGTGTGTGGTTACTATGTGCCGCTAACTTCACTTCGGCTATCGGATTTCGGAACGCTTTGAAGGATCTTATTTTATGAATGACGCTAGAAAAGACGTTTAGGTATCCTAGTCGAGTACGAGGTGTATAATCGTATATGCGATTACAATGTTTTTCACTTAATTCCGTGATTTTGGATTTTTTTTGTCATTCAACTTTTTTTTGCTGTTAGGTTAGTCGTATGGACCATTCCAGTTTTCGTTATCACTGTTATCGAATGCGTGTTGCGTTCTGGTATACGCTTCGATCTCTTCTGTATTTGGGGGTAAATTGTATGAAAAAAATTTTTGGTAAATTTTGTTACTGTGTATATCGTGTGCTGATTTGATTTTGTGGTTTTTTTTTCCATATATGATAAATAAAATAGGGTTCACGGTACCTTGGTGGCGTATATGCGTACAGTCTATTCGCCATAACTCTTGTACTCGCACGGCCCGTAAACTTGGGCACGAGAAACGTATAACGGGTGTAAATAAAGTGGGTATTTTTTTTTGAGGAATTAAGTGAAAATTAGGTCGTAGGTGGTTGGGTTTGTTGGGATGCGATTTAGGGTGGGCACTGGAGGAGGGGGAGGGGGGGTCCGAAGATGGCTGTAATCGTTACAATACTGCATATGGATTTTCGGCACGGAAGCGGAAGTGCTTCGCGGATTTGAAAACGCAGCGTACTATATTTTGTTACTTATCATTTTCCTTGTTAGTCGCTACTTTTAATGTTACTAGGCTCAGGCTGATACATCGACATGCATTAAGGTTTTTTTCGTTATTATTTTGTTTTTTACTTTTCGTAAACGCTAAGCTCTAGATGTACACTAGTAATTTTTAATCCCTAGGATGTGTCGTGATTAACAATCTAATTGAAAAATATTATAGTCTTCGATAATCTTAGTTAAGAACCTCAATACTTCGTTAACATCGAACTACGTAATCGCTTTAATGCTTATGTAGAGAATTCAAATTTATTCACTTGTTTCTTTTTGCCTTCGTTTTTCATTGCGAGTTGAGTTTAGTAGGGTTTTTATATATTTCTTTAATTTCCTTCTTTCCTTCTCATGTGCGCCACGGTGTGTCTCAAGGATCTTCGACTTGCTTCCTCGCGACGTTAATTTCCTTCCTTGGTCTCGTCGTTTTTTAATCGAAATCGCCAAATCGTGACCGACGCTAGCGACACCTTGCGTGGCGCGCAAAAAGCTTGGATTTAAATCGCGTTGAAATAATACGCGAGTGCCCGTCTATAATTTTATCTGATCGATGACAATAGCTTCGGGATGCATTATGGTTACAATTATTCAATTGATCTCTGGATCTATTGATTCAATTCAATTGATCTCTGGATCTATTGATTAATCAGTGTACAGGTGTAGGGAGGGAGTGACTTGCCATTGTCGTTTAATAATCGTAATCGATATTTGTTGGCCATGTTAATTAGTCATTGAATAAAATCCAAAATATATCTTCCTTTCTGTTTATATACCTAGATCTACTGAGGCGTGTTCGGGTACTCTAGAACAGTGTTAAACCTAACCTAACATTTAAGTCTAAAACTAAACCCACACTTTCTTTTACACATTCTCTCTCTCTCTCTCTCTCTCTCTCTCTGGAGTTCGTTGTCGAAACACTCTATCTTACTCTCTTTATCTCCCTCGTATTTCCATCATGTTCTTTTAGTGCCTAGTACCTTAATTTGTTAATTGCTTTAAAAAAGTGTTCTCATTAAATGGCTTCGGTATCGCGAGCAAGCTTATCCCTCCTGGAGTTCGTTGTCGAAACACTCGATCTACTGAGGCGTGTTCGGGTACTCTAGAACAGTGTTAAACCTAACCTAACATTTAAGTCTAAAACTAAACCCACACTTTCTTTTACACATTCTCTCTCTCTCTCTCTCTCTCTCTCTCTGGAGTTCGTTGTCGAAACACTCTATCTTACTCTCTTTATCTCCCTCGTATTTCCATCATGTTCTTTTAGTGCCTAGTACCTTAATTTGTTAATTGCTTTAAAAAAGTGTTCTCATTAAATGGCTTCGGTATCGCGAGCAAGCTTATCCCTCGTATGGACGGTCTGTGATGTGTTCTTAAAATTGTTATTTTTGTCCTATGTCTTTTTATCTTACAATCGCACCGACGATGGATGCACAGAAAGTTTTCGTCGTTCAACATGTTCATTTGTTCTCATACTTTTTTTATTTTGAAAGGACGTTTCTTTTTTTTTAATTGCAAAATACATCCCGAAGCTATTTCAAAATTGATTTTCTTTTTACGTACGATCCAAATATTTTTTTTTATGTAACCTTCTATCAAATTCTCTCTCGCACACTGTCTCTATCTTTTTCTGATACTTTATTTTCTTTTTCTACGTTACTATTTTCTTTTAATCATTGCGGGAGCAAAAATGCGTAGCGCGCAAAAAGCTAGATAGGTACACACAAGCATGACGGCCAATTACGCGCACAAAGGTTGACCGAGAGTATTTTTAAAAAATGAGAAATTCATTTTTTTTTGGATTTCAATAAACCGTCGCACGTGAATCTCACATTTTGGAATATTTGTTTCATCGAACTTGATGACGTCATTGGCCGCCGTTGAAGCAGCATGTATATTATTTCTTTCAATTGGTTTTCAAGCACAACATAACGCTTACTTTCGTTTGCAAGCCAATATCGTTACCACGCATGCGCAGACGCGAAAAAGAAAGTGGAAGATTTCGGAACGCGCGTTCGCGCCGTGCGTCGTATCGGCAATGACGTCGCTGAACGAATTTCACGAATGCTCTTGTTATAGGTAAACGAGGAAATTTAAGCAAAAAGATATAAACATTTTTTTTTTTGTGATTATTTTTTTACTGCAGCTGCTAAAACCCTTGACTCAAGTTAGGAAGCTTAAGACTCCAATTGGGACTCTTCGTAGTTCCGATCTTTATTTTCTCAATTTTTGGTTTTGGTTGCGTTTCGAAATTATTGAAAAAATTTCGTCTCGTTATGACAACCTGCTAGCACGTAGCTTCGTTAGGGTCATGTCATCTTAATTATCTGTTTTAATGTTCGTTACTTTACGTGTTTAAATCTTTTTTCACTTTTTTTTTTGAGGTTTGGTATTAAAGGGAAAGACGTATCACTATCTAACCGATCTTGTGTTCTTAAATCTGTATGTATTTTTTCGCTTAGTTCACGATTTGTCACTAGAAATCATATTTCTGAGAGAAAGGAAAGCTTTTAATTAATCTTCCGTTATTTTTCATTTTTTTTTGTTCCTTTTTTGCATATTATACCTTTCTTATTCGCCCTGCGTTTCGGATGTTCGAACCACAAGTTACCACACGTTACCATAATGTCCACATTTTTTAAAATTTCCGTTCCGTAATGATACAATAGAAAATTTTTTTGTTACGTCCTAAACGAGTATCCTAAATTTTGTCATCTACATTAACTATACGAATTACTTTTAATTGAAAAAATAAATCATGGCACGGCGTAATAACGACTCACGCATTTTTATAAATGAACGTATTTATTTCTGTATGTACCTTGGTTTTTTGTCAAGAAAAATATTAAATGCAACTTTCCGTTGAAGGAAACGAGGAAGAAACCAAATATATACATATATATATATATACACAAACAGTAAAACATGACACTAGTACTTAGTAAAATAATAATTGACAATCTGTCAATTAATCGCGAATAAATTAAGATCATAAGTCGCGAAAACAGGAATTCGAGAATAATACAAAAAAACGTCCCACGAAACCCAATTCGAAAGCGACCAATATCGAAAAACGAAACACAAAGATATTACGAAGGAGGTAATAAACAAAAAAGGAAACATTACCGTGAAAAATCACAATGCTTAAAAAAAACAGGATCATTTTGAATCGATACTTTAGAATAGACTATTGTACGTATATTTATATATATTTTTTGTTCCTAGTTTTATATATATATATATCTATATACATGCTAGATGCGGGCACGGAGGAACTCGTCCGTAAATCCTTTTCCGTCAACTTTGAATTTTCATATCGACGCAAGAAAAAGATGCATCGCTGAAAAAAATTTGAGTTCTCAAACTCACTTGCAACTTCAGACAAATTTGTTTAATTCCGGGGAACAAAATTAAAATGCAACCGAAGTATGTCAAAAGCAATACCGTTTGTCGAGGTTGATTAAAACCATAAAAAAAAAAAAAAAATGAACAATCACAGAAATTAAAACAATTTAATGCATTAATCTGTTGATCTGTTTAAAACATCAAAACAATAAAAAAAAATCAGAACAAAGTAACAAACGTCTGACGTACTAAACGCTAGGAGACAATATTCCAAGTTAACGATATAATAAAAACATAACCATACCAAAACCGCAATTCTATTTCGCCAATACTATTTCGATGACTCTTGCGAGTTCTATGAAAAAAAAAAAATTCGATATATCCCCGATACTATTTCATGACCTACTAACTACTACCAAATTACTCCTACTATTAGTAACAATACAGTAACGCTATCTATGTACACGTGTTTATTAATTTTTTCATTTTTTTTTCTTTTTCCATTAATTTACAGAAACTGAACTCCCGGCCTGATCCCGCATTCCGCAGGTGGCCACGAATCTTTCCCTTCTAATACCAAAAATTTCGAGTATCACTGGGTATATCTTCTGTGTGTATTGTACGCAGGTGTATATAAATGTGTATACCGTGTGGCGTGTATATATTGGTATTTCCGTTAATTAAACTTTTTTTTATTCGCAATTACCACCCCCTCTTTCTCATTCAGACAGGAGCGTCGATTTGATTCTTAAATGCTGTACAGGAACATTTACTTGCAATACTCGTTTAGATCCTTCGCTTTATTTTCGTATCTTAAACTATAGTTACTTTGTTGTTAAATTATTTCGTTTATGCCTAAAAGAAGTTCGTTCTCGAGTAATAATTGTGTCATTAACAGATCAATCAGTCGATCGATCGATCGATTGGTGCATATAGGATGGTGTTCGTAGGAATGGTCGATGGTCATCGGGAGGATGGGGATCGATTAACGAGTAGAATGAAAAGTAAAAAAAAAAAGAAATAGAAATAGTATTAATCAAAGTAATAATATAAACGTTTAAAATTAACTTTTAAGGGCGCAAACACTATAGAACGACGCGAAAAACCTCCACGTCAACGCATCGTTTATGACTAGCAATTCGAAAGTATAATTTCATTAAATATTTATCATTTTTGTTCTTTCTTTTTCTTTTTAGCGACACGTCGTTGTCGTTTATAACGGTGAAACGCAATTTTTTAAAAAAATATCGCAAGAATAAAAAAAACTATAATAAATTTCGATCACTCGCGCTCCGTTGAACCTCCCTTGTTCGTGTTAGTTTTGTTCTATTTTTTGTCTGGGTTTTTTTTCATGTTCACCGGGCAATATTCCGATCAAAGCCCGTCGAATGGACGGTCGAGTTCTGATTTTTGTTTTTGCTTTTTTCCCTCTCGGTCGATTCTCTTGATTTTTCGTTTTTCTCTCGTTTGCTTTTGGATATCGAATCTTTACACGATCGTCCTGTTCTTACAGTAGCAACTAGAACAATCGGTTCTTACACTCTTGTTGATAAGGTCTGAGGAAAAATTCAAGATTTTTTTTTTTGAAAATCGAAATTTTTTTTTAATTTGACAATCGTGTAAAGACTCCTATACGATGGACCCTGACAAGATACACAGAATCATACACACATGTGCATACACACACAAACGCATTAACACAAATGTCACGCTTATAGGACGGGCTTTTTAAAAAACACGTTGCTTTGGTTCTCAAATTGAGATCAATAATAAATACTGCGTATATATATATTGATATCGACAAATCGATCGCGTTTAAGATTTCACAATTTTTTAACGGCATATCTCTTATTATTATTACGACTATTATCATTACAGTAACCAGTGAACGAACGAAACTTGTTTTGTAACGTATATAAAAATTCTTTAAAAATCCAAAAAAAAAATTAAACTCAACGAAGTTTCATTAACAAAAACAATTTGAGATCGGCAATGTAACGAGAGTCTTGCGTCCCGTAAAGACTAAGGAGACCAAAAATTCCTGATTTAGCGAACCAATAAAACAATACTAATTAATTATAATCACTAATTAAATTTGATTCGTTGAATATTGATAATCTACCATTTAAATTGATACCACGCGTTGAAACATCATCAAACAATATTACTGTTTCGTATATAACTTTTTGTTTTTGAGTATATAAAACGTTCTCAACATAACGCAACCACGCGTATGGCAATACGGTTCACCGCGACTCGTAAACTTGCCTGTATGCACGTATATAGATTTTTTTGTAACGAATTTTCAAAAAATAACGAACCTCAGCGTTTACTGAATCCCAATGAAAATTTCATCTCTAATCTATACAGTACTAGCCTAAATATAGTAGTAGTAATAGTATTAGTATATTAGTAGTAGTAATATTAGTAGTAGTAGGCCCGTCGCGCAAGGGACATTCGATGCTCGACATTATAATTTTGGTTATTCTTAAAAAAAAACATTATCAGTGGGTCGGACACGTGGGTCGAACGATTCGTTTTTCCAAAAAAACATCCCTTTTTAATTTTGTTAAGGGTTAAAAACTTTTATAGCGCGCGCATGTGTGTGTACGAAATATGTTAATAGTTATATACCGTGTGTCGCATTAAATTTCTATGACACTGTCGACTTTCGATTATCTCTTAATCCATTGTTCGTTTTCTTTTTCTTTTTTTCGCCTAGTTTGTTCGTTCTCACCCGTTACAATTTTTCGTTCCATCTCTCCTTCCTTATCCTCGCCGTTAGATTACTTACGTTAATATATATATTTATATATAATACAAACAAAATATAATTGAGATTTGTTGTTTAAGAGTATAAAAAATGTCATCGTCGTCATTTATCACCTCGATCAGCATTGATATTTTCATTAATCATTTACCAGCATTTATTCACCCTCGTCCTATGTTATTCGCCGTGGTCGTTACATTACCCTCTCTCTTGTTCGTAATCAATATTCACAGTCATCGGTTGTCCGTTTCACGGTCGCCAATGGTCGTCACTGTCGCCCAATCGCATCGTCATTTACCTGTTGGCTAAACGTCATCGACCTCATACGTCATTTAGCAACACGTGATCATTCATTCGTCGCGTTGGCCCTTAGGCCCTAGCTAGCCTACTTATGCAATACAATACAATTGTTAGTTAATGTAAATATGTGTATAGGTGTATGTATCTCGTGTGTACGAATATATATATATATATATATATATTTAACATATTTGTTTATGTAATATACATATATATATATATATATATGCCGTATAGTACGAAACAACATTTCTAACGTTCCTCTTGTATTCGTCTCTAAAATATACTGGGGGGAAGAAACTTTGTAGATGCGAATTGAAATTTTGAGTTAAAAAAAATTAAATATTTTTCGATAATACTCGACCCGAGTAAAGTTATGACTGGAATCCCTTTTTTTATGAACTTGAATCAAATTCGAATGCAGAATGCATTTGACGAACTTCATTTTTCTGGATAATTTTTTATACCTTTTTTATATAAATTTTTGTTTTCCAATTTAAAAGAAATAAAGATCCGCACCGTTCTTGGCCATTTCGTAATCGTGTTACGAGACTCTTTACGGAATTCTCTCGTTCCGACTGAATTTATCAATTGCGTAGCGGATCGTGTAGCTCGAATGCTCGAGCGAATTAGAAACGTTGGGTAAAACAAGGGAAAAATAGTAAAGGAAAAAAAAATATATATATATATCACTGGGAAACGTAATAAACGAGTAACGCGTTAATATTAATTAGAAGGGAGTTTAAAGTCGTCTTAACTAAACCGAACTTAACGTAACTTATATCAGACCTACGTAAATCGCTGTCGTATAAAGCTTAGGATCTAAATTTCCAATACAACGATTACGTCAACAATCGACATTCCAATAATAACTAAGTAATATAATCAATAAAATTAGTCGTGTATTCGTCGCCGCGGGCGACTTAACAACGCGCACGACTTAACGGGATAACGAAATTGTGATTGGGGGCGAGAGAAAAAAAAAATAATATAAGGAAGTAAAGAAATGACAAGTGATGAATTACTTAAAAACTAGTGGCCGGGTGAATTTTTTAAATAGAATGCAGACTCCGCGAACGCAAGAGAGAAACAAACTGAACCAAAAATATGGATCATATTTTAAGTAACAAAATATACATTGATCTCTGCTGCGATACAAAATGATCCATAGATCCTTGTGCCCGATCGAGTGTCCAAGTCGGTTTCTATGACGTTCGCGAATCGAAACAGTATGCATACAAGAACAAAGAACATTTCGTACGGCATTCTTCTTATCTTAACAATAATTCACACGAATGATATCGATCGGGTACACTTGGCCGTTTCTATCTCGCGTGGGAATCGTGCCAACGGCGACGTTAATAACGGTACGAAATCGTAAGATCGTTTATGATAAAAAAAAAAGAAAGATAAGAACGAGAAAGAAAAATACGAGGAAACGTTTAAAAGTATTTCGCAATGACGGCCCCCCAGGCCATCGTGTATCTTAAATACTAAATTCAATCGGTGATACAGCACCAAGTATTACGAACGCGTCATTTTCAAATATTCTTCCGTTACCTTTCTTTTCCTTTTTGTATGTATCTTAATGCGTCGGCGTTTCTCATTAACATTATTATTATTCCTTTTCTCCCCTCTCCCATTTTCACTTGCTCCGAGTAACGCACGCATATATCAACGCGCATTTACCGAATGTTCGTCCTATAAGAAGCTCCACGACGTGCCGAGAGAGATCGCAGCGACTGCGAACCGGCCGTATTTCGAATCCACCAATAGGGATCGACCTGCACTTTTCTGATTGGCTGTCAACTCCGTCACGTGATTCTTCATCGTCACCACGTTAATTTCATATGGCCCGTAGGCCTATGTCGTCGTCTTCCTCGTTTCTTTTCTTCTTTCTCAGCCAGTCTCGTGCGCTTTCCAGACGTCCTTGGCCGCGCGTCGACGCGAAAACTCCAGGAGGCGAGCCGAGAACGAGTAACTAGGGTGTCGCAGGAGCCGAGAGAGCCATCAAGGGTGCCGGAGGCAGTGCCACCGGTATATGGTAATATTTACACTGGGGACGCATGCACGCGCCCTTCACCGCGTCTCTGCACACCGTTACACGATTCTCTATCACCTCCACGCTTCCTGCAAGGAACGAAGAAAAGTCTGAGGTTAGTAAACGGGCGACATTCGTATGCCGAACTAAATGACAGTCGGCCTCCTCGAATATACAGCGTCTGCTTCGACAGTGGCGCCAAAGGATTCTAGCGGTAGGATAAAAACATAACAAAGTAACCTTGTAACTGTAATTCCAGATCGTTTCACACTTTACGCAGTCAGAAGGCAGACAACGACTAACTGTCACCTGGAGCGGCTCGGTCGATAAAGAAGAGAGCGTATCCAGTCGGTAATAAAGAGCAGAAAATAACAAACCGAATCCTTTGGCGAAGTTAATGATTTGCACTGTATTTTTTGTTATTCAACTCTTATGGCAGTTTACACGTAGGACGTGGAATTTGACTCCTTTTTTTGATTCTTGTTCACTCGAATTTTGTCTAGTGATAAATAAACTTTTAAAAAGTCGTGATGATCCTTTTTGTTCGTTCCTCGTGATACTAGGGAATATCTAGAAAGGCCAGATGTGCACAAGCATTTACACAATATATACAGGTCTCTCTCCTTTCTTATCTTCCTGATAAGACTCACCGTCATGGAGATGGATGAACTTGCAGGCGGGACGGTTGCACAGTTGTCGATTAAAATCTTGGCACACCGGGAGGGTGTCCAGTAACTGAAAGAAAATATGCCGATAGCTGTATACAGGGTGTTCCAGACAGACGGTCGTTCTACGCGAATAAATCCACAACCGTTCTCTCTTTCAAGCGTTCTATCTCGTTCTCTCTTTCTCTCACTCACTCACTCACTCTCTCTCTCTCTCTCTCTCTCTCTCTCTCTCTCTCCCTTTTGCTCGTATTCTCGCACAAACGTTCTTTCTCTTTCTCTCTCGCATTCACTCTCACTCCTGCTCTCGCACACGACACAACAGTCCATCCAGTTCGTTAGAGCATATTCATGATATACGTTACATGCTCTAAAAATTGGATCGCATATCAGATATTATAATTAATTATTGCTATTGGTGCATGAATAGTCAATTGGACTGGGTCGAGTTCATATGAATAAAAATAGATCCGCAACCACAACAAGATGATAAAAACAGGGATAACCCATCGGTTGAATATTCGTGCACGAGTTTTACAAGTAGATTTGCAGTAGAACTTTCTGTATCTGTTTTATCTTGATTTTTATATATATGTATATATATTCCTCTTTCTTTTTTGCTCTATAGACTTTCAACGGTTTTTTTTCTTTCTTTCTCTTTTATTCTCTTTGACTATCTTTTCTTTTCTTTTCTCTTTTTTTTTTTTTTTCTTTCTTCAATCTAGTAGGGAGAACCTATCGCCTGTACTGATTGTGTTGTAAATTAAATGCAAGCTGATTTTTGCCTCTTGTGTGTTATCGTGGGCTGGCAAACGAAAACGAAAAAGAGATAAAGATAATGAAAAACCAGGACAAAAACGAACGTGGGTTTAGATCAAAATGAATTTATACTCGATTCAATAGACACTGATATACATATTTTTTTATAGCCGTTTACGCTACTTCTCATACATTCCGAACACACTGAGTGCAAGGAGCGTGCGTATGAACGAGGACACTTGATTCGCAAATTTCATTCGTGAAAATCATACTAGCACGGTGTGGAGGCACGAGACTGATTTTCGTGAATGCAAAAACGGATAGAGTGCAAATTGAAAAAAAGATTGTCTATCGATAAGAAATAATCAGAAACGATATCAAAGAAGCGTACAAATTTTTATATCCATCACGAATGGTATTGGAAAAAAAATTAATTTGCAAAAAAAACCAATAAATATAAAATTCAACGTGATTTACATTGACGATCCAACTAATTAATTTCATAATTAAATATTGACATGCAAAAGGCAGCGCGAAAGTATAAAATGATGTTTGAAAAACCAAAAAAATGAGACAAAAGAAAAATTGAAAATCACACATGAATTTGCGAATCAGAAACGGAAGCCCTCTTTTCTCAGCGGGCCATTCAGCACAGTGACTAGACTGAAAAATTGAGCGCCGATACAAAAGGGTTAGCTAAAGAAAAAAAAAGAAAATCAAAAATCTCACGAAAGCCTAAAAAGTAGTATAAAGAGTAAAAGGGGGGGAAAAAAAAAAACAATTTTTGCAAATACATTTGCGCCCTCTATCGCTCGCTCTTTCGCCAAACATCGCCAGACATTGACTTAACATAAATTCCACATTTGCGAAAAGGTAAAACAGCGTCAAGTGATTACGCAGAACGTACGGTAACGTATATATACTATATGCATATATAAATGCAATACATACGCATACATATATATACGAATCTAAATGTTAACAATACACGTCATATATAACCGAACTATTTCTTTTTGGTAAACAAATGCAGCAAATAGAGATTAAACGTTAAATTCAAGAAATGGTACTTTTCTTTTCTTTTCTTTCTTTTCTTCATGTTAGCAAAACGTTAGGTCAAAAAGCATTAACAACCTACCAGACAGATATCCAGAAAAAAAGTGAATAAAAATGTATATACTATGAGATAATAAAAAAAAAAAAAAAAAAAAAGAAAAAAAAAAA